CTACTACTACTACTACTACTACTATTACCACTACCACTACCACTACCACTACCACTACCACTACCACTACCACTACCACTACCACTACCACTACTACTACTACTACTACTACTACTACTACTCCATATTTTTAACCTTGTTCTGACGATTACTATTGTTATTGAAAATTACCAATGAGTTTATGTTAAACTTGTGCTTCGAGCATTTGAAGCAGCTGTCCAAGGTCCTTGCGCTGATCGCTCCCCGCTGGCAGAGAAGGACTCAACTTGTTTTACCTGAAGGGGAGTTAAGGGTTTACGGTTTGGGTTTAGGGTTTAGGATTGGGGTTTGTAAGGTGTGGGGTTGAGGATGTAATACTGTAGGGTTGAGGTCGAGTTCCCGACCGTCCCAAGGATCGACACCGGATCAACAACCGACCACATATGAACAGGGGTGGACAGTTGCGTCTTAGCACAAGCTCGCCGAGCTCATCTTCAGTTTCGTATGAACCCAAAGCGATTGACAGCCTGGGATACCTTGTCGTGGCCTGTGGAAGCACGGACTTTTTCATGGCGAGGTCTGCATTTTGATTGCAGGATTTCCTTTCCCTGCCAGCTGACCGAAACGGATACACAGCAGAAGAACTTGGAGCTCCTAGGTCCTCGAGGGCCGAATTAGAGCTCAAGCAAAGGCATGTAAGAAGCCCAAACTTTCAGGCTTCATCCCTAGGTGTCTTCAACCGAGTCCGGACAGGCACTGGACCTAGAGACTCTCGGATGCCGATTTTTGGATGCGACAGCCGTAAAACCGATCAGCGTAAGATTGATGGCGAACCTCGGAATGCATGACAATATACAGCCCGTGCGTCTATGGCCAGGCCACCGTTACGAGCAGCTGCGAGGCGTAGTCGCTCAGCACAGCCTCACTCCGCGAAATGGGAGTCACCGAACAACTTCTAGTATGATGGCGCCATGTAAGTGCGGCTGCTGCTCCAATCCCCCTTTCTATATACAACGGGGCCCGATTTCCTAGATCTTCCAAACTCCTTTGATTAAGGGTTATACCTAAATTATGGTAGGATACCTACCAAGGGTTTGAGGTATATTCCTCAATTTGGGATTTGGGAAGATCTGGGTTCCTATTGGTAGACTCTCCATTAGACCCTCTCAGCCGTTTGTGTTTGCATCTCGAGATGCTTTATGATGATGGTGACAGCAAGAATAGCAAATTCAATCGTGCATAATAGTGGTGATAATGCTACTACTTGTAATCATTATTATGAAGGTACTTGCAATAATCATAAGGCCCAATAATACCAATACTAGTAATTCCGATACTACTCTATTCATAGTAAATCATCGCACGCTTGCGGGCAGGAGGCCAAGTAGAGACCTTCGTCGCCAAAGTTGAGGACTCCCCGACCTTCTGGGCTCTGTTGGGGTTGTGATCCAGGACCTTCCCGTTCAGGGTGCAGTGTTTTGGGGTTTAGGAGTCTGGGGGGTTTAGGGTTCATAGGGGTTTAAGGGTTTGGGGTTTAGGGGGTTTGGGTTTGGGGCTTAAAGGCCTGGCACCCACGCAGCTTTCCTGGTCTAGGTGGGTCTCACTTAGCTAGGTCTTGTTGAAGAGCTTCTGCAGCGCTTTCGTTGCGTCCTTCTGTCACTTCAGTCTAGCTCTCGTGCTCATACTCCTGCACCCTGAACTATGACAAAGCCCATACCACCCCAACGCTAAAACCCAAAACCGTGAACCCCTTACTGTACCCCTTAAGTAGGCCACCATAACCTACCCAAGAGCCGGAACTCCAAAGCTCACTACCTCTGAGACGCCGACCGTAGTCCAACGTCGATCTTTTCGAGTCAGCCATGACGCTGAAAGGTGTGTCAGGTTACAGGGCTTCCTATCAGGGTTTAGGGCTTAGTTTCCTTTCAGGGCTTCTTGTGGGTGGGGGCCTTAACAATTAGAATGGGGTTCGGATCCTTTTCAACAGTTTCTATGAAGGCTTTATTAAGGTTGTGTTGGGGTTTTGAGGGTTATAGGGGCCCGAATATTGGCTTTCGGGTATGCTGTAGTGTGATGTTTCGTATTATTCAGAAACTCACGGGACTCATTTATTCTCCCATTACGGCGTTTCGGGGCTAGCGGTTGAGGATTCAGGTGTTCATGGTTTAGGGATGCTCCTGCCCCAGGATTCCGCACCGCGCAGAAGTATTCTTGGCTGCTAGGTTGCTTAAGGATGCACACACATGACTTGCTGTCGAAGTTGAGACCATACCTGGGCCAGGGACTAAACAACTAGGCTTGACATGGGCTATATGCTGGTGTAACCACCCTCATAGCCGACTTTCTTGCGGGCAGGAGGCACGATGCCCGCACCGTGTTAAACTTGAACCAAATGACACTCGTGCGTACTGCAGCCCTCCACATCGGGGTTCACAAGCACAGCCCAAGCCAGGGACAGCACCGACGACAGACGATCAGAGCTCCATCCATGCACAGTGCCATGCGGTAAATGGGATTATTGACCCTACGATACGGTCTTCGAGTCTTCGCCCGGAAGCCGTGATGTTCTGCGACAACACCTCCTAGGATGACGACTTCTTCCAGCGAGGAGTGCACGTGTGCAAAGTGCTAGTGATTGCTAGTGCAGGTGAGGTTTAAGGTTTAGGGGGAGTCGTGCTGCCTCCGCAACTTGAGGCAAGCTTCTACTATAAGTCTGTGCCAACAACCCTCAACGCTAAACCTGAAATCCAAACTTGAAAAGGAAGCGCCACATTTTGGCTTGCCGACACTCGCCCCGTCGAAGTCTGCCTTTCTGACCCGGAGGACTCCGCAGATGCCGCCTATCCAGAAACTCGAACGAGGTAAAATACACCGCTTAAATTGTGCAAGCTCTTCGCTGAAAGCCGCTGCAACCCTCATACAAGAACAAACCAGATAATGCCCTGACTGGCAGACTCCCGCCCAACATACCCTCCTGGTAGCCGTAAACTGGCACCCTTGCATTTAGCACCGTAGTATCCTTGTAGCAACCATACACAATGGCTTTGGGAAGTCTCAGGACTCCGACAACGCCTGAAGCAACGTAGAGGGGCCCTTTAATAATTCGACTAAGGTTTTTGGGGTTGGATTACAGTACTGTATCTATTATTCAATTATGCATAATATAAGGAACCCTAAGCCCTAAGCCATGATACTGGCGATTTTTCAATCGTCTAACTCAACCACTCCCGACCTCTCTTGGAGCAATCTGCGGAGACCGTAAATGGAGTCTTGCTTGAGGACCACGGCCCAGTCAAGAATGGAGTCCCAGCGAGAATCCCAAAAGAGACGACGCAGCTTCCGGCTCAATTAGGGGCTTCCAGGACTAGAACAGGGGTTTCGAGTGTATTTTGGTGTAAGAGAACCATATTTGATGGTAATCATGTAAAATCACCGCTTCATGCGAGGGGAACTGTCCCTAGGTCTTTTTTCCGCCGGGGATCCTTCGTGGGACTCTACTAGCATTTGCATCCTGCACAGGCATATCGTGCACCCCAAACTAGAAAACCTAAACCCCGAACTTTCAAGTCAGAAGTCCGAAAGGGTGCGACTAATAAAGCCTAAACACTTCATCGTGCTCCATCACTGCCGCTGCGACTACCACCACCACTACGACGAAAAACCTCAGGACCACACCCAAATGCTGTGCGTACGTCCTACCCAGTAGCTTTTATCCAGAACATCTCTGAAACCCTAAACCCTAAACCCTGAAACCTTAAACCCCAAACCGTGAGCCCGACAGAGTGTGTCACAACACCTGTGAGGCCGCGTTCAGCTTGTTGCAAGTCTCCTGAGAGCTAGGTGTAGGGATTAGGGGCTAGGGGTATAGGGTTTAGGCTTACCCAGATCTTCGAAAACTCTTCAGGAACATACCTTAGATCGTATTGGGGATCCTACTATGATTTACAGCACATTCCGAAATTAAGGGTTTTGGGAAGATCTCGGAACCCACACTTGAGGGTTACTACAAGGTCATGAGAGGAGGGACCCAGGCCCGCCAGGGCGGCGACGCTGAGCTTTCTTGCAAGACGAAGACTTGGTTTAGGGTTTAGGGTTTAGGTTTTTTTTCTTGAGGGCTCTTTTCCGTCTGCACTGGGTTTAGGGTTTAGGGTTCAGGGCTTAGGGCCTAAGCCCTAAAGCCTAGCCCTCAAAGCAGAAACCGCCAGCTGCCAGGAAGCAAAGCCCCGAGTCTCGAAGCAGCCTAACGAGGCTTTTAGAATATTTTAAGGTATCTTATGCAGACATACAGTAACTATAGAACTATCGGGTTTGGGATGATACGGTTGATGATATAAATCCTGCAAAAACCCATAATGAGGATATATACCCTGATATCCCATAGTTTGGTGTTTCTTCTCAGGTAATGCAGGATTTATATCATCAACAGTAGTAGCAAAACCCCAAGAAACCCTTTAGCCACCAGTGATTCTTCCGACCCCACACTGGATCCTGAGCGCTGGAATCTGGGCGACAACTGCGCAGTCGTTTCCGGCCCAGCCCTTCTTCCCTTGCAACAGAACAGCACCAAGACTCCCCCATCAACCCTAAACCTTAAACCCTAAACCCCTGAACCCCTGAACCCTAAACCCTAAACCCTCCACGGCTCCCCGGAAATATCGGGGGCTTTCATGCTGAAAGCAGGCTTCCCCGACCCCCAGAGGTAGCTTGAAGCCCGAAAAAGCTGGAGTTCCCGCGTTCAGGATGACCATAATGTAGGGGCCTTGATACTTGGAAGGGGGTTTAAGGGTTTAGGGTTTAGGGGCCTGAACAATTAGAATAGGGTTTGGGGGTATATTATACTATGAACTATAATAAGGTACCCACCTAAAAAAGTATAGCTACGTAATTATCAAGGTCCCTTTTCTTCATATGGGTTGTTGTCAAAATTATGGTCCCTTTTGGGGTCCTTATTATAATACGGCACCTATTATTTAGGGTACCCCAAAAGGGACCCTAATTTTGACAACTACCCATATGGGTTTAGGGCTTCCCTAGGGTTTCCCTGCAGCTTAGGGTTTATAACAGGCGCCTCCAGCAGCTTCAGGAGAGTTTCCTCGGTGGTCTCCCTGTCAGCCCGTTCCTGGCCGGGAGGAACCCTAAACCCTAAACCCTGAACCCTAGGGTTTAGGGTTTAGGGCTTAGGGCCCAAAACCCTAAACCCTAGAACCTGGGCCTTACCACGAACCTGGGCCTTACCACAGGCGGCCCTTAGACATTCGAATGGGTTCTCTTTCCGGGATCCGTCTTCGCTCTAGGGTTTGTCAGGTTTAGGCACCTGTAGATTAGATGTTATATTGTAAATGACCTAAGGAACCCTAAGACATAGAATTGCCTATTATTCCGGCCTATAGTTGAGTGTCAACTCTACATTTTCCTGTGAAAGGCTTCGTCGTTGATTCTTGCGTACCTGTCAAGTGCGACGACGGTGGTGATGATGGCATGATGGCTGCACATGGCAGCTTTGCTGGAATTTGCGCCAAACTACACCTCAGTGATCGGCATTTCGGACCCATGTCAAACCTTGCACGCTCAAGGCCTGCGAGAACCGCAAACATGGAAACTCTCCCCTTGGACCTTTGTAGCAATCCGTTGTTCTCGGTTTTCTTCCCTCCGTGGTGCGTTCTGAAACGCTGGATGTCTCAGGCATTCAAGTAGACCATCTGAAAGTGCGTGTGGTACCATGTAGGTTTAGTGGGACCCTGGACGCGGGTTTAGGGTTTGGGGTTTAGGGGTTAAGGGCTTAAGGCTCTAGAGACTATAGGGTTTCGGGCTTAGGGCTGAGGGGTTTAGGGTTTACAGGTCTTTAGAGGCCTCGACTTTACCTTAACCTAACAAAACCTACTTCTTTGTAGGTTCTTACTTTAGACCCTAATCTGGAATTTAGAGGGACCCTGCAAAAAAGTAGACTCTGGTTGGTTAAGGTAGCTTGGCGTTCTTCTGGTTGGCTCNNNNTAGGCTAAAAGTTTAACTTTTAGGAATGCTGTACATTGTATAGTTTTTTACATCGATGTAAAAAACTATACAATGTACAGCGGTTCAGAAGTACGCCAAGGTAGGGTTTAGGGTTTTAGTGGCTTCGGGTGGACTCCTTTGGAGCAGCTCTCGGCCAGGTCCGTCGCGAGCGTGGAGGCGGCGGGAGCAGGGGATCTCTCGAAAGCTCTTCCCTTTTGAGGGTTCCTTATGAGGGTTTTTAGAGTAGGGTTCCGTGTAAGGGTTCCTTATAAGGGTTACTAGAAGGGTTTAGGGTTTGGGGTATCTAATGATTTGATTCGGGCTTTTTGAATAGGGTTTCTTTTGAAGGGTTACTGTAAGAGTCTACCATAAGGGCCTTAACAATTAGAACGGGGATTTTTGCATGGGGTTCCTTTTATTAAGGGGTCCTGATAAGGGTTCCTGAAAAAAACGTGTAGTATAGTGGCCTGAAGGGTGAGAATAGGTTTTTTTGCATAGAGTTCCTTTTAAGGGCTCCGCATAAGGCTTCCTTATACGGGTTATCACAAGGGTGTAGAAAAGGGGCCTAAACAACTAGAATAGAGTTTTGGGGTGTACTATACTACAATGTATTATACTAAGGATTCCCCCACAATCATAGCCAGATAGTATAGGAGCCTAAATGATTACCCAGATCAGTCCTCAGGGCTCCTTATCATGATTATACTAGAAAGAAGCCCAACACCCTGTTCTAATTACTAAGGCCCCCATAGCAGCGTCAAAGAGGTTGCTCGCCACTTGGAGGGTCACCTCTATCTCGCCATCAAAATCATTTTTCGGAAGCACTGCAGATAGCAGTCGCAACTTTAATCTCGGCAGTTGTCGGAATGTTAC